GGGAACGCGCCGCCGCCGCCGCTCTGCCCGCTCCGCGCGGCGCAGCCAATCAGCGCACAGAGCCGAGTGAAAAGCCCACCCCCTCACTCCAGAAGCGCGAAAGCAACAGCCAATGAAACGCCGCAGAGCGCAAGCAGGACCCGCCTCCCCGCTGACCAATGAGAGGCTGCGCCTGGACTTGGGGGGCGGTGCGGAGAGCGCGGCGGCTTGTCCCGCCCCCTCGCGGAAACTCCACCAATCAGAGATCGAGGGGTGGGGACTGGGGTAGAAACTGGGCGGGGCGAGGGGGGGTGGGAATGATAATCTGAGCCCTGAGGGGGTAAATCTAAAGACAGGGGGTAAATGAGGGGTTTGGAGGTGTAAATCAGGGCCTGAGCGGATAAATCTGGGCCCTGGGGTGGGAAATGGGAGCGCTGAGGGGGGAAATCTGGGCTCCAAGGAGCTGAATCTTGACCCTGAGGGGCTAAATATGAGCCCCAAGGGCATAAATCTGGGCTTAAAGGGGCTAAACCTGGGGCTGAGAAGGGATATATGGGCCCTGAGGGGGTAAATCTGGGCCCTGAGGGGATAAAGGGAGGCCTGAGAGGATAAACCTGGGCTTGAATGGGCTAAATCTGGACCCTGAGGGGATAAAGGGAGCCCTGAGGGGGTAAATCTAAGGCTGGGGGATAAATCAGTGCTTTGGAGGTGCAAATCAGGGCCTGAGTGGATAAATCTGCGCCCTGGGATGGTAAATTGGAGCTCTGAGCAGGGGAAATGTGAATGCTGAGGGTTTGAATCTTGACCCTGAGGAGATAAAGGGAGTCCTGAGGTGGTAAATGTGAGCCCCAAGGGGGTAAATCTGAGCTTGAAGGGGCTAAACCTGGGGCTGAGAGGGGATATCTGGGCCCTAAGGGAGCCTTGAGGGGGTAAATCTGGACCCTGAGGGGGTAAATAGAGCCCTGAAAGGGTAAATCTGGGCCAAGAGAGGCTAAATCTGGGCCCTGAACAGGATAAAGGGAGATCTGAGGGGATAAATATGGGCTTGAAGGGGATAAAGAGAGCCCTGAGAAATTAAATCTGGGTCCTGAGGCAATATAGGGAGCCCTGAGAGGGTAAATCTGAGCTCTGAGGGGGTAAATCTGGGCCCTGAGAAAACAAAAGGAGTCCTGAGTGGGTAAATCTGGGCCCTGGGGTGGTAAATGGAAGCTCTGAGGGAGGAAATGGGAGCACTGAGGGTCTGAATCTTGACCCTGAGGAGATAAAGGGAGTCCTGAGGGGCTAAATATGAGCCCCAAGGGCGTAAATCTGGGCCCCGATGGGCTAAATGGAAGCTCAGAGGGGTTAAATCTGGGCTCCAAGGGATTGAATCTTGGCCCTAGGAGATGATGGGAGTTTTGAGGGGCTAAATCTGGGCCCTGAGGGAGTAAAGGGTGCTGTGAGGGGGAAATTCTGGGCCCTGAACGGGTAAAGGGAGCTCCAAGAGAGTAAATCAGGGCCCTAAGGGGCTAAATCTGGGTCTAAGTGGGTAAAGGGAGCCCTGAGAGTGTAAATCTGAACTCTGAGGAGGTAAATCTGGGCCCTGAGGGGGTAAATCTAAGGCGGGGGGGTAAATCGGGGCTTTGGAGGTGTAAATCAGGGCCTGAGTGGATAAATCTGAGCCCTGGGGTGGTAAATGGAAGTTCTAAGGGGGGAAATGGGAGTGCTCAGGGGGTAAATCTGGGCTCCAAGGGTCTGAATCTTGACCCTGAGGAGATAAAGGGAATCCTGAGGGGCTAAATATGAGCCCAAGGGGGAAATCTGGTCTCGAAGGTGCTAAATGTGGGCCCTGAGGGGGTAAATCCAGGTCTTGAGGGAATAATGGGAACCCTGAGAGGGTAAATGGGGTCCTGAGGGAGTAAATGGGAGCACTGAGGGCGTTAGTCTGGACCCTGAGGGGGAAAATCTGGGCTCAAAGGAGCTAAATGTGGGTCCTGAGGGAATAAAGGGAGACCTGAGGAGCTAAATGTGGGTCCTGAGGGAATAAAGGGATCCCTGAGGAGCTAAATGTGGGTCTGGGGGGGATAAAGGGAGCCCTGAGGGGGTAAATGTAAGGCCGGGGGGTAAATCAGAGCTTTGGAGGTGTAAATCAGAGCCTGAGTGCATATTATCTGAGCCCTAGGGTGGGAAATGGAAGCTCTGAGGGGGGAAATGGGAGCGCTCAGGGGGTAAATCTGGGCTCCAAGGGTCTGAATCTTGACCCTGAGGAGATAAAGGGAGTCCTGAGGGGCTAAATATGAGACCCAAGGGGGTAAATCTGGTCTGGAAGGTGCTAAATGTGGTCCCTGAGGGGGTAAATCTGGGCCCTGAGAGGGTAAATGTGGGCCCTGGGGTGATAAATGGGAGCTCTTAGGGGCTAAATCTGAGCCCTGGAAGGGTACGGGGAGCTCTGAAGGGCTAAATCTAGGCTTTAAGGGCAAAAATCTGGGCCCTGAGGGGAGAAAGTGAGCCCCGAGAGGGCAAATCTTGGCCCTGGGGTAGTAAATGGGGTCCTGAGAGGGTAAATCGGAGCGCAGAGGGGGATAATTTGGGCTCCAAGGGGCTGTATCTTGACCCTGAGGAGATAAAGGGAATCCCGAGGGGCTAAATATGAGCCCTAAGGGGGTAAATCAGGGCTCAAAGGGGCTAAATCTGGGACTGCGAAGGTATATATGGGCCCTGAGGGGACTGAAACCCAGAAACTGCCCCAGGAGTGAAGGTTTTACTGTTCAGCAGATGTTCTCGACCAGCAGCGCTGGGGTCGCCCTGGGGATTCGCCACCACAAGGGCTCCCCCGAACTCGCGGGGACATCGCTTGACACACCCACAAATCGTACAGAGGCAGGAGAGTCCCCGGGCAGGGGGGTCTTACGGCCACGAGTTCCCGGGATCCATTTACACGGTCCCGGCTGTGCAGTGACAATGGGGTGAGGGCCTTGGGGGGCGGAGGGCCGAAGCACGTGCTCCTCTTCACGCTGTCGGCTCTTCCCGGAACACGCACAGCAAAGCCCAGGGGTCTTCTTCCTCAGTCGGCGAGATCCCCCTCCCCAGAGTGTAGCTCCGTGCCCTTTTGTTCATGTTCCCCTCATCTTACTTTGCCCAAGAGCCCAGTGAGGGTTTCGGGTCTGCTACCAGCGAGTTACCGAGGGAGCGTTTTACTTTTGTCCCGCCAAAGAGGCCGAGGGAAAACGGTTGAGGAGTCCCTGGGAAACAAACACAAGCAAAACGCTCCCGCATCACAGTTTAGTCTTCATCAGAAATTCACTGGTTTGAACCCTTTCAGGATAGGTGGAGTCCTGTGGGGGTAAATGTGACCTCCAAGGGGCTACATCCAGGTCCTGAGGGGAGAAATGGAGGCCTGAGGGGGGAAATCTGTGTCCTGAGAGGATAAATGGAGCCCTGAGGTGGTAAATCTGAAGCCTGATGGGGTAAATGGAAACCTGAAGCGACCGGTCTGGGCTCTGGAGCATGAATTGGTTTGAGCCTTTTCATTCCCCGTTTTCTTTTGAGGGTGCCGGGCTTACAGCTCTGCCCCTCAGTTAAAGGAATTTGCTCTATCGGGAACAGCAGGTACGACACTGAATTGTCAAACAAGGTGTAACGACCATCACAGCTGTCCCCTGTGATCAGAATAATTGTTTTCACCATCTGAAGTTTGGCAGACATGAAGTTTGTCCCGTATTCCTTCAAAGCCTAAAGGAGGATCGTCCTTTGCGGAATCGACGATATTTTTCAAGATCCTTTTCCAGGACGCCTGCCTGGGGCTCGGTTGTCCCCTGGGCTCACACCGTGACACCACCAGCGCTGTCACCCGGCCACAGGCGGCCACCGACTCCCCCGGGGACGATCTGCCCGCAGTGACGCCGCCTTGGTGTCACCAACCACCTCCCGATTGTCCCTGTGCCCCGGCAGCTTCCGGCGGGATCCGCTGCGGGATCTTGATGGGCGCAGAGGTGGGACTGACAGGCCTGGAGCTCCCGGGACCTTCGATTTTTGGTTTTTGGTTTGTTTTTTTTTTCAATTGTGAGTTACGTTTCCCCGTTTCCCGTCAGCGGGAACTTCACGGCTCTGCCAGGGCTTCTCCAGTCGGAGGGAGAGAGGCTGAGCCGCTTCACCCCCCAGTTCCCTCAGGCCCCGCGGGTGCGTCGCATCAGCTCCCAAGGACTCGGGCACCTCCCGGTTCCTTCCACGACCTTGACCCTGACCTTCTCCTACCCCGGGCGGTTCTTCCTCCTCCCAGGCCTCTCCCTTTGCCCCTCTGGCCGTGTGCCGGCAGCTCTTGCCGCTGGAGATGGAGGAAAAAAAGCATTTGGGTGCCTCAGCCTCCGCCTCAGCCCGGGTAACCGGGTCTGCCCTTTCCTCCTGCCCCGCGTTTTCTCTGTCCTTCCTCTCCTCCCCGACGGACCTAGAGAAGCTTTTTTTCAGACACCGGTTAATAGTCGGGGCAGATGATGTTCTCGGTCTCTTCCAGCCGAGGTGATTCGGTGATCCTGTGCCTCTGCCCAATCGGGGGAGCCCCGAGGGTGACGCGGCTGTTCCCGGGCAGAGCAGCAGCACAGGGCACCCCGCAGAGCAAACAGACAGACGGACGCCCGGGCAGGGTCCCGGGGGCTTCACCTTTGACCTTGGGCCCCGCACCCCCCCGCAGAGGCTGTTGGGGAGGGGGCAGGTCGGGGTCGCCGAGCCCGGGGAGCCCCAGCGCTGCGTGGGGCCGGCAACCGCTGCCCGGGGGCCACTGGTCCAGCGCAGGGCAAGTGTCGGGGAGAGCCCTGCGGGGCCCGGCTCTGCCTGGTGACGGGTGATGCTGCCCAGCCCCGCTCCTCACTGGGCCTCACTGGGCCTCCCAGTCCCGCACTGGGCAGGAGCGGGGCCGTTCCCCAGCGGGCAGAGTGCGGCCGGCTCGGGGGTCCCAGCCCTCGCCCAGCCTCTGTGGTGTCAGCGATGGAGACTGGTGGTGTCCCGGGAGCCGGGGCCGTGCTGGTGGCACTGGTGGTGCTGGGAGCCCACGCGGCTGGTGGCCAGGAGCCCTCGGGTGAGCTCGGAGCCCGGCCCGGGGGGGCTGTTGGTGGGGATGGGCCCCCCCGTGCCGCGGGGGGCTCTGGGCTGGGGGGTGCTGCGTGTGGGGGAGACGCTCCCCCCGCTGCTGCAGCCCAGGAGCAGCCTCTGGGCTCAGCTGTGCCCCGGCCCCCTCCTGCCCCCCCTTCCCGGGGCTCTGTCCCCCCCAGCTCTGCCCAGTGCCCCGGCTGAGAACTGGCGCCCGGGGGGGCAGGATGCCAGCGCCGGCCCTATGGCGGCTGGGGGGCTGTGGGGCCGGCCGGGAGGAGGCTGGGGATGGGGAGGGGGCTCCCCGGGGCCTCCCTGCCCCCCGTGACGGCCTCCCTGCACACACAGGGGTTTTCCTGGAGAGGGTTGAGAGTGAGTGTCAGTACCTCAACGGCATGGAGCGGGTGAGGTTTGTGGAGAGGTACATCCACAACCGGGAGCAGTTACTGCACTTCGACAGCGACGTGGGGCTCTATGTGGCCGACACCCCCCTGGGTGAGCCCCAAGCTCAGAATGACAACAGCAAACCAGAGAGACTGGAGTATAAAAGGGCTGCAGTGGACAGGTTCTGCCGGCACAACTACCAGGCTTTGACCCCCATCGTCACGGAGAGGAAAGGTGAGCGCGTGGCCGCGCGTTGCCCCCGGCCGGGCACAAGCCGAGCCCCCGGGCCCGCAGCGGGCAGAGCGTGTCCGTGCCGTGCTGGGGCAGGGTCCCGGGCAGCCCCCAGCAAAGCCCCTGCGCCCTTCCCTGGGGGCGCGAGTCCCTCGGCCCCTCCCTGGGCACGTCCTGCGTGGGGAGCACAGGGCCAGCGCTGGGCCAGGCTGGGGGCAGGCGTGCGGGGCGGCCCCGGGGCTCTGTGCCCAGCCCCGGCCCAGCGCCCTCCCGCTCTCTCCCAGTGCCGCCCAAGGTGAGGGTCGCCCCCGTGCAGTCGGGCTCCCTGCCCCAGACCGACAGGCTGGCTTGCTACGTGACGGGCTTTTACCCGGCGGAGGTCGAGGTGAAGTGGTTCCAGAACGGGCGGGAGGAGACGGAGCGCGTGGTGTCCACGGACGTGATCCCCAACGGAGACTGGACCTACCAGGTGCTGGTGATGCTGGAAACCAGCCCGCGGCGCGGGGACACCTACACGTGCCAGGTGGAGCACGTCAGCCTGCAGCAGCCCGTCAGGCAGCGCTGGGGTAAGGCCCTGCGCGGCCCCCTGGGGCGGGAGGGTGGGGAGGGGGCCGGGCCCCCCCAGCCCTGACCCCTGCTCTGGGC